CGCTTGCCCTGATGTTCCTTGCAGTAGCCTTGGGTGTTGTGCAGTTGAGTTGCTCCCGCAGCGTTGCCTGGTGCTTTGCTGAGTTGTTGCCGGCTGCTGTGTTTCGCTTGTAGACAGTCTGACTTTGGTCGAAGGGTTCATGACCCAAATCATCAATACGGGGATTCCGCGGGATCTCAAGGGTTCAACCTCCTGATGAGTCGGTACATCTCTGATGAAACAATCTTTCATCATCAGCTTTTACTTTTTTTGGTTTTGTCTTGTGGTCTGCTGTCGTTTCTTTGGCTGCCGTGTATTCTGTTTTGCCCACTCGCCTCCCCCTTGCCCTCCAACCTATGTCTCTTGTGGTTACTCGTTTTTTTCTTTAGCTCACTGTCCTTTTCTTTTGCTGCTGTGTTGCCATGCCCACCCGCCTCCTGCCGAGCTGCTCTATTCCCGATTCCCATTCATTCCCTCTTCACTGATTGCCTCGCTGTGTGTTTCCGCCCTACCTTTTGCTTTGCTGCTTCGTGCCTTCCACCACCTTGTCTTCATCTACTGCTTACCTGTGTGGTTAGTTGTTTGCCGCCTTGCTTCCCTTTGATTTGCTGAGTTTGCATTTGCTACTTGGCTCTCTGCCTCTTGCCTACCTGCTGCCTTCTGGCTTAGTATCCCCGGGTTCTAGTCTATTGCGTTGCTGCTAGGGCTCTTAGCTTTCGATTGTTTGGGATGAAGCTTCATTTTGGTCGCACCATATGAACTGGACTATTTTTTTGGTATGTTTTCCTGTCGCATTTTTTCCACGCAGCTCGCTGCAACTATTCTCGCAGTGTTGCAGCCTATCATAAAACACACACACACACACACACACACAATCAGTTTTATGTATGTCCTTCTTTTCTAAGCACTTCCTACGTCTCTATGTGAGTGTTAGGTTGTTTGGAGTGTTGATAACACTATTAGGGGTGCCGCTCAGTTCGGCATGTTTGTCGGTGCAGTTACATGGGTGATGACAGACCTTCGTCAGAGTGCCTTCCTGGTTCAGTGATGGTGGGAACCAACAGTCTGCAGTTTTTTTTTTCTTTTTTTTTTCTTTTTTCTTTTTTTTTGCCAACTGGTCCCTCTGCTAGAGAAGAGGTGATAAGACCACCCCCTGGTGGCTCCAATCTATTGGTGGGGAGCAGCACCTGCTGGAAAACGGGTCCAGCGTCCCTGTGAACAATTCAACATCTGAACACATTGACATCCTGCCAGCACCAGGGGATTCACTGAGCAGGTGAAGGGAGGCACACGAGAGGAGTTGACAAGAGAGGCCTCTTCAGCCCTGCTGCTGGGCGCCTGACCAACCTGACTACCGAGTCGGCGAGTCCCCTTCCTCCCTTTCCAGATGCAGCCAACCAGCGAATTTGCACCGGTTTTTGAAGAGTGAATATTCTCCTGCCTGTCCCAGTCCACCTTGACAGTGCCTCTGTCTTGCTGACGAGTCATTTTTCTGCTTTTTATCTGCAGAGACCACCTATTCCGCTCCGTACCACTGTAGATCCACCATGGAGAGACCATGGAGTGGGAAGGGATCGGGGAACTCTGAAGGAGGCTAAGAGTATAGCTGCTACAGAAGCCCATTTTTTGGGTTTTATTTCAGTTACTTCTACTCCTCGGTAATCAAACCCTCGCTGTCTGTGCACTATATTCCATTTGCTTAACCATGCAGATACTCTGCCTTGGCCAGGGGAACAGCAGCATCTACCCTGGTCCAGTCATTGAACTTGATTGAAGTGCATACCATAATCCCTTTTAAACTCATCGTAACCGAATTCCTGTAACTGGCCTCCCTCCCATCTAATGTGGGCTATCCTGCCATCCCTCCCCAGCCATTCCCTGGAAAATTGTTCAATGGCTCGTATTATGTCACTTTTCATATGAAACAGATATAATTTAGCTTTCACTCCTCACCACTGTGCCATGATTTCTTCCTGAACATATTGCCTAACCATTTCAGTGACTCCTTCCCCCTCTACTCTCCTTCAATCGTGTGCATGCACCGTTTCCGCCATAGGGCCCAAATAACAGCTCTCCTCCCCGTCCTGAACATATTGTTTTCGAAGGGGCGTCCGCGGGAGAGGACCAGGCTTCACATAGGAGGGCTCTCCAGTCCCATGGCCACGTGGATGTAGTGCCTAGCTGTCGCCAGATCCTGCCCCACCTGCACCATGTGAGAACCGCACCCGGCCACTGCAGAAAGATGTGCTCTATGGTCTCGGGGATTTTACGGGCTCGATCTATTATCCAGAAGGAAGCCAAACAGGAATGACACCACGGCATCGCTAAACCCTTTTGTTCTAGGTAGGCTCGACCTATTATCCAGTTGTTCATAGGGAGGCAGCAATGCTCTATCTGCCACTGCAGCGAGGCCAATTTCGCCAGTTTAGACCTTGTGGCTTTAAACCATTGGATGGGTCAGACAGCATCCCTTCCCACATTTAATTGGGATACCCATCGCTCTCTCACAATACCTTTCACATTAATTCTCGGTCTCAAGAGGCGATAGGTAGATTTTACTGACAGAGTAAATAAGGTCTTGTTTACTCCCTTTTTACTTGCCGGGTTCCATTGCCATTCCTCCGGGTCGAGAGGGAGTTCAGCAAGCGGGGTTTCAGGAAGGAAAGTGAACCAGTCCTGCGAGTGGAGTACCCGTATGCGGTGCAAGTTCGACTTTTTCCACCATCTCAGCACATCAGGGTGATACCTCTTTAACCTGTTGTCATCTTCCTTATGAAAAAGGTTCACCAGTACTTCCTGTATGTGTACCACCACCACATTCCCCACGCTTTCTGTGTCGTCCGGGATGGTAACCCAGTCTCCCTCTTGTAGATATGGTCCTTTGCGCAGCATGCGCACCCAATCCAAGGGTACAGAAAAGATCAATTCCTCCAAGTTCTTCCCCACCTGATGACAATGTTTTAGGTTAGGTCTCAGTTGTTGTTCCGTTAGCTAACTCTTTCCTCCTATATCCTATATATCTCGACTTCTTACCACACCCTTTTAACCCAGCTGCTCCACAGAGGGTCTAAGCTGCTGTATACTCTCCGTTGCCGATCGGTGATATGCACATTCCCGAAGAGTGGTTGTCTCGCCACCTCTTCCCATCTGGTTTGCCTGCCCTTGTCTGGCATGGGGAGCTGGCGCCACGCTCGGAGGGCCTTAGTCCAGAAATCATCCCTGGCCAGGTCTCGCCTGGCAGCTCCCCGCTCTGCGTTCATTTGGGATTTGGAGGGGCGGGGTATGGACCAAACTCTGCAGGGTACAACCTGTGCTGTGAGTAGGCGATGGATTGCTTTGCTCCTTGTTGGATGTGTGGACTGCCTTGTCTGAGCTTCTCTGCAGCCTTGCTGTGCAGCCGCTTGCCATCTTATCTGGTTGGTTTGGTTGCCTTGCCGGTGTTGCTTTGTGCCTCACCGCATTGTTTCCTTGCTGCCCATCTGCATGCCTCGTCTTCAGGTGCACGTAGCTTGTGTGCCATGTAGTTTGGCTGCTTTGGCGCTGTTGCCTTGTGCTTCGCTGTGTTGTTGCCATGTCTGCCACTTGCGCCGTCGTTCCATGCAGTTAGCTTTGGAGTTGTGTAGTTGGGCTGCTCCGTTGGTGTTGCCTCGCTGAGCCGCTGTTGCCTTGCTGCCATGTTCTGATTGTCGTGTTGCATGCTGGCTGTCCACTTTCAACAGGGGTCAAAAGAATCCATGACTCACAGCATCACTATGGGGATTCCACAGGTCGTCGAGGGTTCAGCCTCCTGATGGGTCGGTGCAAGTCCGACCAAATAGTCTGTCATCAACTTGTATTTTTTACAGTGTTCTTTTCTTTCTTTCAGTGTTCTACTTGTACTCCTGATGAGTCGGTGCAAGTCCGACCAAATAGTCTGTCATCAACTTGTGTTTTTTACAGTGTTCTTTTCTTTCTTTCAGTGTTCTACTTGTACTTTTCCCGTGTTTCACTTTTTTCATTGGGCCTGTTTGGGTGTAGTACTTCGAGGATCGTCCTTTACACTCCACTCACTTATATGCGTATTCTCATCCTCAGGTGTTGCGAATCTTACGACGGTATGGTATGGAGCACGATCCTCTACCATTCTGGGGCCATTTACGGCATGTGTTTCACACAAATCATCAAGCACAAATAATCATCATGTCTTTCACACAGATTCTCACACACAAACAAATGTGTCTTTCTTTCTTATTCATGTTAATCACATGTAGCAGGGCAGGTGGTGGTCACATCAAGCAGAGTCCCTGCTCCACCCCAATGCCTTGATTAGCTTACTTTCTTAATTTTACGGCCGACTGCGACGCTCACACACAACAATCAGAAGTTCAGACAGTGCATACAGGCATTAGACAACAACGGTGCAGGGAGGCAGAACTTGAACCTCACTCCATCAGATGGCCGTAACGTCTGCAGGTAGTTTGGTTGATTCAATTGCATGCACCTGATTGTGGTGCATGTAGACTCGTGGTTAGTCAGGAAGTCGACTGACTCAAGCTACCGTCTTCACACGAATAGAACGCCCGGTCATTATGGCTGCAGCTGGACTGAAATTGTCCCAAATACAGCTATAATGACCGGGCGTTCTATTCGGGTGAAGACGGTAGCCCCTCAAAGAAGGATGTGATGTGATGGCAAGAAGGTATATGAACCAGAGTCTGATGTCCTTCCCTAACTTCGCGAAGAAAAAAAAACATTATTTTCCATCCATGGCCTTCACAAAATGCATGTCCGACATGCAGTTGCTCACCTCACGTGTGATCAGTTCTTGCAGAAAGCTACGCCGCTGTCAGAAGATGCAGCTGACTGTCGTGTGCAGAGCTGGCATACAAATGCCATGACACTTAACAGCTGCTGCAGAACCGTCACAACATGCACAGCGGGCAGACACGTGGCATGGCAAGCGGGAGATAAAAAACAGAGAGACTCCGACAATATGCAAAATGAATCAGCCAATTGCATGTGTTGGTATGCTGTGAACTGCCTCGTGTAATTGACAGGCACACTTTGTGCTTTCTCACTCGGCTAACCAAGTGCCTGCTTTGCGAGGCATAGATCTCCTATTCGCCACCGAATCTTGTTTTCGACACACACACCGATGAATATTCTTTTCATCACATGAGGAGCGTGTAGTAGCCGTATACGTCCTGCACGCAATTTAAAAATGTCAGGCTGCCCGCCCCTGGCCGTCGGATCTGGCATTACTGCCAATTCTCCTGGATTTCCCTTGTCTGGCAAATAGTATAGTGTGCATGTCATGCATCTAATTTAGGGATGCTGGGCTGCCCCTGGCCGCCAGGACCTGAATGCTGGGCTGCACCGGCAGATCTGACAAAAATGCCCCTTCTCTTGCACTCTCCTTCTCTGTGCACTCCTGCACATACTTTAGGGGTCTACCACCCGGGAAAAGAAACATCAATTCTGTCAATTTCTGTGTCTTTTTTGCCTCAACCCCCACATCTTCACTTCTGTTTCAAAAATAACACACTTGACTCTCGCATATTTTAAACTTCTACGTTCACAAAAGCTTATCACGGTATCACCGGCTTTTGACGTGTTTCTCCATGCGAGTTTGTGAAAGCGTATCACCCTTTTTCCTTGTCACTAGGCAGACTGATTTCGCGTATTTACCCTGTGATCAAGCGACAGTGTCAAAACCAACCACCCTGCATCGAAAATCCAACGGATTTATTAGCATTTACAACACGAGGGAAGAAAGGACCGACTCTGACAGTAATCGAAATATCCACACTTCCCGAAACTGTCACAGATCCACTAATGCTACTCGTCAGCGTCCTCCTCCTCTTGGTTTGCACAAGCCAGCAAAGATTAAGAATAGTAAATTACTCGATTGAAACAGCAAGTAAATGAGCCTAGACTTTGACTGTTCCTGTTCTTCATGATGGGGATGGCGCTGTCACGTTTCAACAGTGCATTGGCTATATATTTCAAAGCCATCCATAACAATACAGCAAATTCTCGTTGTCGAGATGCTGGGCTTACCAAGCACCACCTTCATCTCGTCTTGATTGCTCTTGTAAATTGACAGCAAGGAGAGACAGCTTGTTGCAAAGGCCACTCTGAAAAATGCGCCCTTCTCCCAAGTGCCACACCCCCTACAGAAACAAGTGACGAGTACGAGAAAGAAATAAATGGCGTTGCGAGCTGCACGCACACATACATTGAAAGGAATTAAACAATCCGCGACCCGGCCCGCCCCAATAAATGGCATTGCGAGTTGCAAGCACGCATAAATTGAAAAGAATTCAACAATCCGCCACCCCGCCCACCCCTCAGCCCAACAACGTGCGCCTCCCCATTGCCTCTCGCCCGTCACCCTCCTCATTTCCCCCACTGCCTGCACACAGCTCACTTCCCCTCCATGCTCTTCTCGCTCGAGCTCTCGCTCAATGCTTTCCCATTACGCCCCCTCCCTCGTCCTTGCTAAATGCTGCCAACGGCCTGCTTTGCTATGAGCAAGAATTTAGGCTGGATTGGAGCTGTGCCTTGGAGGTTGCCAATCGAACCACAACGGATTATTTACAATCCCAGGTATATTTACCAAATCATGCAAAAATTAGACCTCTGTGCCTGAAAAATGATCTGCCCTTCCCAACAATCGCTTGCTCTCGCTAGCTCGTGGCTCTTCGTCTTGCCGCAGTAAAATCTCCTCAAGTGGATGCGCTATCGGCACACCACTTATAGACGAGAAGGTGTCACTGAGGCTGCCACTGAGGTTGCCACTGACGTTGGCACTGAGTGAGCCAGAGAACATCACTTCGGCGAAACTACCATGGCTAGTAAACTTGGCAGGGAGCCTCACAGGAGGGACGAGAGAGTGCGGAATGAGATGGGGTTCCTGACCCCCTGCGCGCAGTTCATAAGGAAAATAATCCACGGAGCTGGTGTTTACCATTTCAACGGCACCTGGTGCTGTGTCGACATATATCCCACGATCAGCATCAGCATCAGCATCAGCATCATGTGTTACGTCAGGCGGGGAGCGAAGAGGTTGATAAGGCCCAACCGCCTCACCGGAATGATGATGCTTCAGCCGACCCGATCGAGTGGTTGGGTAAGATGGATGGGAAGAAGGACTTCTAGCAAGCGGAGGTTTTTCAGTCTTGGCTGTGGGCTCAGGTCTGCCTTGCCATAGCTTCACAGGATTCCGATCAATTATATGCTTCGTTGCAGAAGGAGAACTGATTGGCGATTGTGCTGGTCTCACTTTCGTTCTATCACCGCCACCACCATTTTCTCCGTCTCCCTTGCTCCCTCCTCCGGTTCCTGCCGCTTCTCCTTGTGCCTCTCCTCCCCTGTAATGCACCAAACAGTACCCTGTTGCAAACATAAGAGCGAAGGCCAGAAACACCCCTATGCTTCCCCCCACCATAACAACAATCCTCAAGACTCCTCGAAATGCGAAATTTTCTTCTCCATCGTTCTCATTTGGTCCATCCCGATCAAACTTGCCTCCATGTTTACTATCATCTTCTGTGTTTGGACCATCCTCCTCCCCTCCACCCTCGCCTCCGTTGTTGTCTCTACTGCTCGACGAAGGAGGACTTCGACTCCCCGTGCAGTTCACCTCTTCATCATAGTTATCTCCACAATCATCCGTGCCATCGCACACCTTCATCGTCATCAAACAATGACCATTTCCGCACCTAAAACCTGCGCATTTAGGACACAACCACCCCTTGCAAAAACTCCCCTCCAGAAACTGCCATCGTTTCTCCCCCTCCTGGCTTCTAGTGCTATCGTTCCCATATACGTTCTCAACAGATGTCTCATCCATTTCCTTGCTGTGGGCATCTCCATTTCTCACTTCTCGGGAGCCTTCGCTCATCACCAACATCTGCAGCATTATAATCAATGAGAAAACAACAAAAGACCGCCATCTTACTGGCGAACGCCGTCGCCATTTCCCCACCTCTCGCCCCATTCATGTAGAAGGAGCGACGATGTACGTGTCAAACCCCCCCGCTTGACGACAACCCTGAATTGCTCACATTTTTCTCACCATCACCACCGCCCAATGAATGTGCAAGAAACCAGTTCACAAAACTAATCAATCACGTGTCTGTCACTCTTTCAATGCCATTCCTTCCTGCCCTCCCACCACTCGTCCAACAAATCTCTCTGCCTTCCTCTCTTCTTTTTTCAAGCTGGCTGATGATCAATAGGTTCCATGTGGGCACGAGGAGAACAAAAAGGGATGGCTCATGCAATCGAATGTTCTCAATTTCAGGAAACTAGGGTAAAGTAGATGGTTAGGAAGACGACCAGCTGTTTGCGGTGTTGATATGAATCCTGTGGACCATCATCATGGAGGAGGTGACAATCACGCACGCAGCCCTTTTGTTGCACACGCTGCCCAGGAGTCGTACGTCACAGGACCGGCCACACTCCACCACTCTGCCTACGTCACAAAAAATACAAATCGCCGAAATCGGTGATCACACACGCAGCCCTTTTGTTGCACATGCTGCGCAGGAGTCGTATATCTCAGTATGGGCCATGCTCCACCACTCTGCCGCGGTCACAACGACAAAAATGAAATCGTGAATGTTTCTTTCCCCCACCACCTTCTGCCTGCATATGTGAATCATATAAAGGGGGGGCAGCAATCGAAGGTAACTTCCTTGTTTTTCTTCTTGGAGAATTAAACTCAGCACAACTGCATTACGAGTCTGCAAGCCCTGCACACACAAAAAACATATGAATCCCATAAGGGGCATCAGTCAAAGGTAACTTCCTGTTTTTTTCCTTGGAGAATTAAACTCAGCACAACTGCATTATGAGTCTGCACACCCTGCACACACACAAAACACACACAACACACACACAACACACACACAACACACACACTGAACACACACACACACACACACACACACACACACACACACAAGTCACTGCCTTCAACCTTTAAATACTGAAGGCTGAAGCAAATTGCGCACCAGGAATCCGGGATGCAGCAAAGAATAGTGCTGTTCAGGAGAAAGCCAATGGAGGCACCTAAAGACAAAACAGCATGTCAGACCTAACAGAACTGGGAAGTTTGTAGAGAAGCAGACAAACAACATTTTTTTTGCCTTTGCAGGACCTGCCAAAACACAGACCGAGAACACAGCTGATTTCTGAGTTTCGCTGCTGGAATGAATGCCCTGCTGAGATTGCCGCGTTTTGCAGGGTTTTCTAAGTCTGTGTGTGTGCGTGCTTGCTGGTCTGCGTACCTATCTGAGTGTTTGTTGGCTTGAGTGTGTGTGTGGCCCACCAGGCCACTTGTTTGTTTGGCAGGCCCAGCAGGGCCAGTACTTACCTGTGGCCGTGACTTTGGGGTTGCAGCAGGTGGCCGAGAGGGTAGCTTAGGGCACACTCGAGTAGCGGTGGAGTAGGCCCATAGGCACTCACGTAGTACGTAGGCCGGTACCACTCAAAGTAGGGGTTGATGTGTCGGGAACCTGAGGATGACCAGAAGAAGACAAAAAGTTGGCAAATTTAGAGGCCCATTAGTGGTAGGCTAGGTCTAGGCAGGTACCAGTCCAAGTAGTCTGACTCTAGGGCCTGTGCGCAGCCACACGGGCCTGCAGGGCCCGACCAGACGGAAATTCAGGGCCCTACAGGCCCTGTGTCGTTTCAGCCTGAAACCCTGAAAACGAGGGCCATTTGCAGGCCCTCATAAAGTCGACCTGCCCTGAAAAAAAAACTCAGGCGCCAGACCAGGGTTTAGCACAGGCCATTTTGGGGCCTGTTTCAAGACAACCTTTGTTTGAACTTCAACGCCAGGGTCTGGCACGTTTCGGCATTGGCAAGAGCAGCCTCCCCGACGGGCCAGCACTATATAGAACTGGCCCGCCCTGCAGACTGCATGTAGCTCATAGGGACTTCCCAGGCAGTTCACGGGCACTTCACGTGCAGGAGGCAGGAGGCAGTCTTCAGGATTCGGCAGCAGCACTCTGGAGGAGCGCTGCAGTAGTAGTAGTAGCGTTAGGAGTAGCCTTCAGCGCTGGGCGCTATTAGGAGCAAGAGTAGCGTTGGAGAACGAGAGAGAGGGTTGGCGGAGGCCAGGGAGACTTACCTGTGGCGCCATAGCTCCAGCTTCATCTTCGATGTACCTGCAACAAGGCGCCACCTTCCTACAGGTTAGTACCAGACTGAGAGAGAGAGAGAGTTCTTCTTCTTCCTCTTCTAAGTCCACCATCTCTCCCTCACCCTCTCGCTACCTGACTTCTCAGTATCTGCAGACTAAGAGAGAGAGAGAGAGAGAGAGAGAGAGAGAGAGAGA